TAAAATCACCAGCAAGCCTACTCAAAGGGAATTTTAGAATAATTATGCTTGAAGTCAGCAACAAGACATGAATATATGTATGCTGAGCATACAAAATCAGAGCTATGATTACCAGAATAAGTAAGGGATAATAATATCAGGGAAATATAGTGGTTAGTGCCAATATCGTCATGTATCTTAAACATTTAAAGGAAATGCAATGGAATATTTAAGTGATTGAGACTTGAGAACCAGGTAGACATCTGCTTAGTATGCCAAAGCAGATATATTTGCAACACAAAAGCACTGATTAGAGCAATTGATACATGATATGCCATTTGTAATAGCAACTAAATCTTAGAAATACTGTATCTAAAAAGAAGCCTAACAAAAATGTTTACAGTCTTTACAGAGGCAACTGTGCTGGCAGATTTCAGTAAAAGAAGCATGAAATCAATAGAGCAATGTGTCATAGTCATTGATGGAAAACTGAATAATGGAAAACTCAATTTTCCTTAAATTTCTTAGAATTTAGTGCCTTCCCTGTAGCTGCCAAAATGAAAACGAAGTGTGTGTTACTGATTTGTGCTTCCCAACTTATCGCTGGAAACTAACGGAAGAGAAAGGTGTAAGACTTAAAAGTCTCACTTCCACTCCACGGAGCGCAAACAGCCCAAAAGGCCTTTGCAGTGTTGGGCCCTAAAGCCCAATGAGGCTCCGTGAGTGCTATCGAGGAACGAGAAACCCAGGAAGGAACACACCAGGCTAGATGGTAAAAGACCTTTATTGTTCTGGCCAGACGGCACTCTCAGAACCAAGTCGCTGGCTCAGAGAGGCACCTAGCTCAGGGGCTGAGGTCCTCTTATAGGGAGTAAAAGAGGAGGTTAACATTTTTGGGCTCACAGACAGGGGACAAAGGTCTGCTGACTTGAGCTGGTGGTCAGCAGTCACATGCTCAACAGTCACATATTGATGAGTAACAGGTACCACCCATAGGATGTCTCAAAGGTCACCAAGACACTCCGGATGAGCAAACAGTTTGTCAATTAACTTGGGGCTCTATGTCTGGAGTGTCTAATTTACAAGTAGATTCAGATCCGGACTTCAAACAATACAAGAGTGATACACATTCTTAGGCCAGGGCTGGAGCAAAGGTCGGGGCTGTGGCTACAATGGGAGGGGTTCAGGACTCTGTCTCCTAGGCCCTTTGCCATTTAGCAAGGGCTTGTAATTTAGGTCCCACAAAGGAAACAAAATTTACCAAACACACACAGGCAACTAAATGTAAACAATATTTTTCTGGGAAAGCCCTGGGGAGACCACAGACTGAAACCTGTACTTGTTTTGGGGGTAGGGGCAGGGAAGTGTGTGGGGCTGAGGCCGTCATCACTGGCCTATGACAGCCTGAGTCCGAGGAATGTTTTACAACTCCTGCCTCTACATCACTGCACAATCTGAGGCAGTGCCTCATAGGAGAGTAACAATGACCTGTGAGTAACATCAGACAGAAGGAAAATGGAGCCGGTATGGCTGCAGTCTGAGCTAACAGCCACCTGAAATCACCCTAGTAGGGGAGGACTGGATTTCAAAGCCTTCTCTATTTTAACAGAATGTAAGGAATGCACTAGAATTAGAGCAGCATGCTAAAAAGTGAATCATGCATAGTGACAGTGGGTATTTAGTCAAATAAGCATATGTAGTGTACATATATGTGCAAATTCATTTGTATAAATATGCACTTAAAACACATCCACTTGACATATATATTCACTAACAAGCACACATATGATTTTGTACATATGTGTACATAATTGTGGTCTAGGTGTACACTTTTTTTTTGGCTTTTTGAGACAGGGTCTCACTACATAGTTGAGACTGACCTGGAACTCACTGTGTAGCCCAGGCTGGTCTCGAACTCACAGTGATCCTCCTGCCTCAGCCTCCCGAGTGCTGGGATTACAGGCGTGTGCCACCACGCCCGGCTAGGTGTACACTATATTTTTTTCCTCAACTTTATTGGTACATTTTAGGTATACAGTACAGTTACATTCATCATTGGGATCTTGTACCTTTACATGACAAGTCTTGGTTCTCATTTTTTCCCCTTGTCCCTGCCCTCCCTTCACCTCCTCCTCCCCTCCCCATTTACAAACATTTTATTTCCATTTTTTCATTTTCTCCTATTTTTTTCCCTTATTACCTTTCCCCTACCCTTCCCACTTTCCCTACACCTTTAGCCCTTTTCTTCCTGTTTCACATTGTCAATTATCTCATTAGGATCTTATGTACTATTTCAGTTTGTTCACACCAGAGAAACTATTCGGTATTTACACATGCGTGACTTATATATTTCACTTAGGAGTATGTCCTCCATATGTATGTATTCTCCTACGAATAAATCTAATTTCTCATTCTTTATGGCTGAGTAGTATTGCGTTTTATAGAAAAAGCACATCTTTATCCGGTCTCCAACTGATGGGCAAATGGGCTGTTTTCAAGTTTTAGCTATTACAAACTGTGCCACTATAAACATGGGTGTGCATATATCACTGTGATATGATTCTTTTAATTCTTTTGGAAAGATACTCAGCAGAGGGATGGCTGGGTCAAATGGGACCTCTAATCCTAGTTCTTTGAGGTATCTCCATATTGATTTCCACAGTGGTTGCACCAGTCTGCACTCCCACCAACAGTGGATACTTTATATATGTGCTATTTATACAAAGTCCATTTAGTGGAGATGTAAAATAACTTCCTGACTCCAAATGAGCATTGAACTGTGATAATCACGCTTTGGACTATGAAAAGTCAGATCCCATCACAAGAGCAAGACTCACACCAATTCCCTGCTGCTGCTCACCTTTTTTACAGTCAACATCAATCTTTTAGAAGGAAAGGGCGGGGAGGTCTGCATCTGGCTGGTGAGAGACCTCATAGGAGGATGTGGTTGTCCTTGAAGAGGCCATCACTATCTTGGACTCCTCAGCCTGGCCTCTGAGGTCAGCCCTGGAGACCCTGGGCAGCCAAGTCAACCTGACCACTCCCCTCCCCTCCCATGGCTGCCACCATGGGATTTATCAGAGACCAAGGGAACCTGACTGAGGTGGGCAGGACTAGAGTCCAGTCTCTGCTGGGAACCAAAGTGACTAAGTCTTGGCAGAACAGAGGAACCTGAAGATACTGTTCTGCTCAGGCAGTCAGATCCTGGACGTGTCGCTTGATGTCACCTCCACTGACTCCACACTTGTGGGGTCAGATCAGATAAATGTGATGGACTTGATCTGAGTTCCAGGTTTCAAGGAGGGACTGGGCTGTGTTAGGTAAACATAAGATCTGAGGATGGACTGAGCAAGCACACTTTATAGACAGGGTCTCCAAACAGGCCCGATTTGACTTTTTAATCAGCCCTGCACCCCAAGGAGAGATTTTCTTGTGAGCGCCCCTTTCCTGCTCAGGAAAATCTAGGATTCCAAGCCTTGGTCTCCGAGGAAAAGACTCCGGTCCACAGAGGTAGAGGTCCAGGCTCTGGCAGGAACCAAGATGACGACCCCTAGAGAGGACGGAGAGAACCCAGGGAATACCGTTCCACCCCTGCTGTCAGCTATGAGAGACCCCAGGCACGTCGCAGGACGTGAAGTAACGTCAACGGACTCGCGCTTCTAGGAGTCTGCGCGACGACCTGAGGTTCGGTTCTGAGGTGCGCGCTTCAGGTAAGGGAAGCGGCGAAGGCCGGGTTCAGTTAGGAGTCCTGGTAATGGGCTTGGGGGAGTAAGGAAGGCCCAACTACACGGGATCACCACATAAGCTGGTTCTGTCTTGCTTGTCAGCTGGAGCCCCCTGGAGAAGCAGACTTGTGAGAATAAGCCTTTCCCCCCTTCTGCCTTCAGGGGCCCTGGAGTTAGAGCCTTGGTCTGAGGGGAACAGACTCAAGTCCATAGAGGGTTGTGGCCTGGGTTCTGCCGGGAACCAAAGTGATGACCCCTGAGAACAGAGGAGGAGCAGGAAATCCCATTCCTCCCCTGTTGTCCGATTTCCCTCGCCCCCGCACCCGGCGCATTGCAGGATGTGAAGTGCACCAAGTCCAGCCTCGTGACGTCATAGCAACGCGAGGTCCTGTTTTGCTTCCGCGTTTCAGGTGAGGGAAGCAGAGAGGGCCAGGCCCAGTTAGGGGTTCGGTTGAAGTGTTATGGGGGAGTGAGGAGGCTCCACTCCAGAGAGAGAGAGAGACCTGAAACAATCCAGATTTTCCCTATTGTTAGCCCGGCACTCTCAGGAAGAATTTTCAAGTGAGGACCAAAGCAATGCTCTAAGGTATGGGCTTCGGTGGGAAGGTTGGGGAGAACTGGGCTCAGGTTAGTGTGAGGAGCTGTCGGGGACTGAGGAAGCCTCACACCTGCTACAAAGTCCTAGAACACTCTAGAAAAGCCTCTGTTGCCTGCTGTACACCTCGCGGTGCAGATTACCAAGCGAGTGCCCCCTTTTGGTCTCTGGGACCTGGGAGGATATCAAAGCCTTGTTCTGAGGTGTGTCCTAAAGTGGGAGGAGCAGAGAAGGCCTGGGGTCAGTTAGGTCAAGATAAGGAGCAGTGGAGAGGGGCTGAGGAAGCTTTACCTCAGAAAGAGGGCTACAGAACAACCTAGAAAGGCCTCTGTTGTTTGCCCTGGACCATGTGGCACAGAATTCCTAGGTGAGAGCCAGCTTTTGCCTTGCTAGAACCTGACAGTCAGAACCTTGTTCTGAGGTCCATGCTTCAGGTAGCAGGAGCAGAGACAGCCTGGGATCAATTAGCTCCAGTATCTGCCCCAAGTCAAAGTGAGAAATGAAGCAGGACTGAGTGTCCCAGGACCCATGACAAGTAGAACTCGGTGTGCTTATGCTTCTACACTGAAATGTCTTGTGCTTTCCCACCCGCAATCTAAGGAAGGAGGACTCAGGGATACAAGAGGGTAAGGCTCTTATAAAGACTCAGGGGGAAGGGGCTGGGGATTTAGCTCAGTGGTGTCACCTCCTGCCTTGCAAGTGCAAGGTCCCAAGTTTGATCCATGGTGCAAATAAAAGGACTCAAGGGGAGAACTTTACAGAGAGGACAATTGAGGGAGCCTTACATGCTAGACCAGAGGTTGACCTCCACCATGCTTTCAGCACTGGATGGCACAGTGCACCTTTGCCCCTGGCTCTTAAAGAGTGGGACTTAGTCTGAGGAGTGTGGCAACAATTAAACAGATACAAGACATGAGAAACATGCACCTGGTGTAGGCAGGAGTGAGAGGAAGAGTCACCCCCCACACACATGAGTTTCCACTTCTGGGGTCACAGGGAGGTGATGGCCTTGGATTGCAAGATGCATGCATGGGTCATCAGAGGGGAAATGTGAATCCCTGAGAATGCTCCAGAAAAAGGGGGGCCTCCGTAACCCTCTTCTGATATCCAAACCCTAGGGAACCCCCATTCAGGGGTTTCCAAAAGTGCTACATCTCACTTCTGTCTGAGTTCAGGGATATCACACCTTGGTGTGCAGTGGGTCACCAGGTCAGCAGAGGAACCACACCTCGTCAACAGATCAAAGAAGCCAGGATGTGCTAGCAATCAAGGTGAGGAATTTGGGTGAGGCCAGAAGGTATGGAAGTACCCCACACACCCCAAAAGAAGGGAGTCTATAGAGCCTGGTATCCACTGTTGCCACCCTAGGAGCCCTACAAATCCCAGGCACTGCCTGGAGTCCAGGTGTGGGCAGAGAGAACCCCATGCCTGGACATACAGAACCCTAGCCTCAACCTGTCTCTACTGTCACCTATGGGAAGACTCAGGGACTATGGGTGAACTCACTTCCCCTTTCCTTCTCTTTGAATGCTGCTCACAACCTCTGTCTCCCCTAGGTCTTTCAGTCCTCATCATCAAGCTCCTGCCCATCATCGTGTCTGAATCGCCAAAGCACTACCAACTTGAGCAAGACCCTCAGAACCAAAGTGAGACACAGGGCTTGGTGGACAGGTAGGTTTTGAACTCTGTGTAGAAGGAGATCACCTCTTTCACTCCCTCTCATTGCCTTTCCTCCTCATCCACTTCCTTCTGCTGTCTGATCCTAGGCACTGTAGAGAAAGTTTCTGTCACTGGAACACTAGATCCTCCTCGGTGTCCTGAGTGCCCAGTGTCATGGCCGCCGCCCCATCAAGCCAATCCCATGGGGGCTCCAGCAGCGAACAAGGAGAAGGTTCATCCCTCTCATGCGACCTGCTAAACACTGAGTCCTTGACTAGTGACGTCATACAGACTGAGGTGGCTGAATTGATGGAGTTCCTGACCCTTAAGTATCTAATGAATAAGACAACCACCAAGGCAGAAATGATGAAGGTTGTCACCAAAGACTACCAGGAGCACTTCCTTATGCTCTTCAAGGAAGCCTCTCACTGTATGCTGCTGGTCTTTGGCATTGATGTAAAGGAAGTGGACCCTCACAACCACTCCTATGTCCTTGTCCCTGCCCTGGGCCTCACCTATGATGGGAAGGAGAGTAATGATAAGGGCTACCCCAGGACCATCCTCCTGATAATTGTCCTGGGTATCATCCACATTGAGGAAAATAGTGCCAGTGAGGAAGCCATTTGGGAAATGCTGAATGGGATGGGGTTGTATCCTGGGAGGGAGCACTGCATTTATGGGGAGCCCAGGAAATTCCTCACCAAAGATTTGGTGCAGGAACAGTACTTAGAATGTCTGGAGGTGCCCAGCAGTGATCCTCCTCGATATAAGTTCCTGTGGGGTCCAAGGGCCTACAGTGAAACCAGTGAGAAAAAAGTCCTGGAATTTTGGGGCATGCTCAAAGATACCACCCTTAAGTCCTTGTCTGTCTGTTTTGAGAAGAGTTCAGAAGATGAAGAGAGAGAACTACGGTTAGGGTCAGTGGAAAGTGACAACTAGGGCCAGGGCCAGGGCTAGGGAACATTTCAAAGCCAAATCCAGCGGCTTCTCCTGTCCCGTGTAATTTCTGAGGCAGATTCTAAACTCTGTGCTTGAAAAGAACAGTCATTTTTCTAAATAGTGCAGATGCAGCATTGGGACTGGGTAAATTCAGTATATAATCTTTGCCTTTCTCTTCTATGTGGTTGACTTGAAGATTTTTTCTTTCTGATCTTTTAAAAGATATATTCTTTGTTTTAACAGAAGATTTAATTAACTTCAAGTTGTAAATTTTGATGGCACTAGTCGCAAACATATTGCTGTTTATACATTTTAAGAGCTCTGCTGTTATATAAGAAAAACATAAAATCTTCCATCCTATTTTGTGATCTGGAACTAAGTAACCTGTTTTTGGAATAAAAGCTATCTTGAAAATGTGAAAGAAGTCATCAATAAAATAGATGTGGCCACTAAACACAGAAAAAAGTTAAAAACAGTGTTTACTTTCCTTTATTCCTTTTAGTTATGTAAAATTAAAATTTTTTGCCTATACAGTATATATTTGGCTTACTCAAAAATATTGGAGAAATTTACTCGTAAGGAAGAACCCCCATCTGCTCACAGATGCACTGACCCCAGACTACCTTTGAGCAGATGCTCTGTGGAAGGCTGTGTGTTAGCGCTGGAGAAATGAGTAAACTAGGCTGAACAGGACCCACTCTTCCCCATAGGATGGTGGCATCTTGGGCCATTTCCAGCCGTGGCAGGAAATGGAGAGCTGTCCTCGAGGGCTTAAAGAACAAGTGAAAGAGAAGTGGGGTGGGAGTTGCAGGGGAAGGGTGAATGTTTGGGGCAGCTCGGGACTTTGGAAAACTGCAGTTCTTTCTTCGAGAATTGATTTTACTGCACGGTCACTAAGGCCAGACACTCAGTTGAGGTATCTTGGGGCTTAAAATGGAAAACTGCTCTGAGCAGTTCTGCTTGGTTCATGGGTAAATCAGAGAGGAATGTCCACCTGGATCAGGTATTGGATGTGTCCTGAGCTCTTCTCCCAGTGCAGCTGGACATAACCTAAAACCTAGGTGATTTCTAACCATCATCTGCAAAGATTTCCAGGCAGATGAGGAATATTTCTTTGAAGTTCTGTCCAGAAGGCACCAGACTGACACATTTTCTTGGCCTGGGAGAGGCAGAGAAAAGTCCACTGGAACATTATACTTAGATTCCCTTTAATGTAATTGGCATAACTCTAAACAAGGGCTAGGTTTTGGGTGGGATGAAAATAGTGGTTCATGTGGAAAAGCAGCTGAGAGGAAAAGAACTGGCCCTTCACTCATATTCTAGGAACTTTGGGCTACATCCACTGGGAAAGATGGAGCTATGCACAGATTTTGTAATATGTCTTCAAAGAGAGAGGAGTCACTGAATTTTACTCATGAAATTTCCCATTTGGTCTAATTATAATATGCAGAGCTGCATATTCTCTGGTATGTCCTGGAGAGCAGTGACACTAAGAACAGTATCCCCGAGTGCTAGGGGTGGGGTTGAATCCTATTAGAAACAGCAGTCACCTGCCCTTCAATCTGGTCACTGTCCCAGCCAGGCACAGGGCAGGGTGCTTTCCACACAGTGCACACCTTCCTGCAGTCCTACCGGACAGGCCTGACCAGACTCGCTTCACGGATGAACAGCCCCAGTCTCCCAGGCCTGGGAACTTCCCGTGTGACTCTCTGGTAAGTGACAGGGCTGTGTGAGTAACTCAGGAGGCCACTGCTGATCCCACTCCTTCTATCCCAGGGCAAAATTGCTGATTTACACATCATTTCTCAGCACAGTTTAGTGTCTCTCTGATAGCCGAAAGAAGGATGGTGGGGGAGGCTAATACAATGAGGGTCTCAAACACAGGTGTGGAAAACATCTATCCTTAAAAGACAATTGTCTTAGTTACTTTTCTCATCGCTGAGACAAAATACCTGACATCCAAAGTTAAAGGAGGAAAAGTTTATTTAGCTCACAGTTTGTAGAAGTTTCAGTCCATAGTCAGCTGGCTCCAAGGCAAGGTAACATGGTAGAGGGGCATCACAGAGAAGAAACAGTTCATAGCAGGTCAAAGGCATCAAAAGCAAGAAGCGGGAGCTGGGGATTTAGCTCAGTGGTGCCGCCCGCCTGCCTCAAAAGCACAAGGTCCTGAGTTTGATCGCCAATACAGGAAAAAAATATATCAGCAAGTAACAATAGCAGCCCTCTTTCTGTCCCTTATATTTTATCTAGGTTACATGCCCTTAGGGCAAGTAAAACACACCCATCGGAGCCTTCTCATTATCTACACCCAGACTATAACAAACCATTCAGTGGACTAATTTAGTAATCACACATCCTTCATCCCAGCATCATACCCTTAATCCCAACACCACACACTAGATCCAGCAACCTCTGAAAAATCCCACCTATGACTGAATGAAGCTTTGGGGGGACACTGAGACACAAGCCATAACACCAGCTGTGCTGAGTTGTGTGTATTTCTATCCAGTGCCAGCAGTTTCCTGCTATACAATGCTTTCCCTGGGCTTTCTTTTCATGGACATGCTGGCTCAAATTAGAAGAGAAAAAAATGATTTTCCACCTTTCCTATGCCTCCTGTCTGGCACCTGCTTCTTAGGAAAATACCGGCTTTCAGAGTGACTGCCGACCTATCCAGGTTCTGAGGTAGCAATGGTCATATGAAGGGGACAGAGCTTCAGAAGATTTAAGGCCTGCATCAAATGGCAGGAGCAAATCCTCATTCTGAGAAGATAGAGAGTATTGCAAAGGGAAGTCCAGAAAGCCACTATTGTAGAAGGAAGGTAACCCCACTCCGCTAGCTGTTACATGATCCTCTCCCACTCAGATTGGATAATGTCAGACTTAAAAGCAGGTGTGAAATGTTCAGCGGTTTTCAAGGAAAACCTGGTCTTCTCTGTAACACCTCCAAGAATGAGGAGGGATGTCATCTCACAAAGGAAACTAGTTACGTGCTCTGTGAGGGTTCATGGGAGAGAGTACAAGTAGCCACCCACAAGTTCTCCCATCCTTCTCGGCCACAGGGAAACATCACTGTCCCCTTGTCATGACAGAGGCATGTGACATTTCTTCCCAGTGAAACACGTGTTGGAAGTGTTGTCTGTCACATCTAGGCATTGGAGAGCCCTGCTTTCCCCTCCTTTCCAGCAAAGGTGGCATCCCCTTGTTCATATGTGAGAACCACAAGATGGAAGCAGCCTGGGTTCCTGGTGCTTTTAAGAGCGGACAGCTCCTACAGAACCATATCTGAATTTATTTACACATAAAACACTTTCATGGCGTCAAGCTGTTCAAATGTTAGATTTGGTCTCTCGTATCAGCTAGAAGTTATTTTAAACAATACACAGCTACTATTTTTGCTGTTAGGCTTATTTAAATATTGTAATTTCATTTCTTTATATGGCAAAAAAAATTTTTTTTTTCGTTTTTTTGAGACAGGGTCTCACTATGTAGTTGAGACTGACCTGGAACTCACTCTGTAGCAAAGGCTGGTCTTGAACGTTTTTTTGAGACAGTCTCACTATGTAGTTGAGACTGACCTGGAACTCACTCTGTAGCAAAGGCTGGTCTTGAACTCACAGTGATCCTCCTGCCTCAGCCTCCTGAGTGCTGGGATTACAGGTGTGCGCCACCATGCCCGGCTTATGGCAAAAAAAAAAAAAATAACAAATACATATATATCATAATTTTCTTTTTCCAAAGTTCCTCTTCTCTTCAAAGATCACTGTGGTTAATCTAGTGCACATTATTTTAAAGTGCATTTTAGACCATTTAATATACAGATGTGCTAATAAGTTAAATTAGTCATGTCAACATATATGGGTGTGAATGTTAACCTTGATTATGTCATTTTGATTTTTTTGGGAGCCTCCTCGTAAAGGACTTTCCTGGGGATGTGTGGGATGGTCATGTAGGTATGAACTTGAGTATGGACCCTGTCTCCTATGTCTCTGTCTCCCAGTCAGTAAGAACTAAGCATCTTTGCTCCACTGTTCCTTTCTACCATCATGTTCCTGCCTTAGAGGCAACTGACCATGGACTGAATCCCCTGAGACCATCAGCTAAATTAAACCTCTTCTTTAAGGTGGGTGTCAGGCACTGTGTCACAGCAATAAGATAGCTGACTAATACACTGGGTAATGATGTATATATTAATCTAAAGCTGCCTATAACACTAGACACAATGGATTCAGAATCTTCCTGTGGCAGTATACTACTCTCCAGAATTCTAAAGTGTCTATAAGGTTCAAATAATCAAACCATTTCCCTGGTGGGCACATAAATTATTCTGCATTTGTTCTTACAATGATTAGCAGTGAAATCAATATTTTGTGTACAAATTCTTGCGCGAACCTATGTCTTTTCTACTAAGAAGGTAACAACGTGGACATTGAGTTGAAGTGGGAGTAATGGATATAGTTTAACTTTTTAAAATATTGCCAATATTTTATTTAAAATGTTATTTTAGTTTGTGTACTCATAAAATCACACTTTTTAAAATGGGTACATATTGAGGATATACTCCTAAGTGAAATAAATAAATCACACGTGTAAATACCGAATAGTTTCTCTGGTGTGAAAAACTATGATGGTACATAAGATCCTAATGATATAATTGAAAATGTGAAATAGGAAGAAAAGGGATAAAGGTGTAGGGGAAATGGGAAGGGTAGGAGAAAGGTAATAAGGGAAAAGGAAAAAAAACATGAAAAAATGGAAATAAAGTATTTGTAAATAGGGGAGGAAGGAGGGGGTGAAGGGAGGGCAGGGGTGTAGGGAAAAAATGAGAACCAAGACCTGTCATGTAAAGGTACAAGATCCCAATGATGAATATAACTGTACTGTATACCTAAAATGTACCAATAAACTCAATGAGAAAAAAAATCACACTTTTTTTTTTTTTTGGTACTGTGGATTGAACTTGGGACCTTGCGCTTGCGAGGCAGGTGGCAGAACCACTGAGCTAAATCCCCGGCCCCTTCATAAAAATCACAGATGATTTTAAATTCTGAGATGTCAACAGGATATTTCCCCTTTTAATTTGAGGAGAAAAAAAAATCTGTAAAATTATCCAGGATCCAGGAAATGAATGCATACAAAATATCCTCATCAAAAGAG